CCGGACCTGATCGTTACCCCATGCCTTGGCATCTGAGGACCTTCTCAGAGAGCCTTACCCAACAGTCTTATCTCCACATCTCAGGCTCTATATACCTCCTGAGTACATGCTCCTCTCCCCAATTAGTGTGAATGCCATGGAGGAGACACTGGACCACAGAGGATCTCTCCTGCCAAGCCCTCATGCCCTGTTTAAGTGTAGTCAAGTGTCTTGTTCCTCACATTGTGGGTTGCCTGTCCCTTGCCATCTTACTGGCTTAGTTAATGTCAATCCTGAGAACCTGGTGAAGGCCTGCCTTCCTTCCGGGATCCTGTTTAAGGCTCAGAGCATTCTGGGAAATTGGGGAGGGAGAGACGACTCCTCTAGTTTGTACATTAGGTGGTCTCTGTGTCCTCATATTTCTTGGTGGCTTTCCCCACTATGGTCGTCTCCCTCCTGGCTGGGCTGCAGTAGAGATGCCTGCTTCCATTCCAAACTGATTTATAGATAACGATGCTGTGAGACACCTGCAAGCTTGGTAGAACACAGACTGCAACAAGGGACAGTAACCTTAGATTTAGGGGCTCATGAGAGTTGGGAAAATCACCTTCCCCATGGGGCTCCCTCAGCTCCCCAGAGGGGGTTCCCCAGCATGTGTCCACCCACCTAGGAACAACACACCCTCTCTTCTCTCCAGATCCAGGCTCCTACCCCTCCCAACCTGGCAGTGCCAGGGAAATGCTCTCCAACTGTGCCACTTTGCAAGGCAGATGGGCCCTCCTTTCTGTCATTCTTTCCCACCCAAAGCTGTCACCCATAGGCGCCTGGAAGCTGTCCAAAGAGGGGCATATCCCTGCTGGGACAGACAGGGCAGGCCCCTTTCCTCCTGCAGCAGGACTCAGGGCATTGGGCGATCCATCTTCTGCTCAGCTCAAACCAAGGGAGAACCGTTCCCCATCTCTGCACACAGCCCATCGTGTCAAACATGGCAGGCGAGTCTCAGCCTTTCCTTGGCTGGCCCTGGGCTGCAAGCTGCCTGGCCCGGGAGCCATTTTGCTGGTGGGCGTTTCTGTCATCCTCACTCCCTCCTCTGCCAGGCTAGCCTGGCTCCTGCTTGAGCTCGGCAGAAGCAGACTTACTTGGAGACAGCTGGGAAGACAGGAGTGATTCCAATGCCCTCAGCACTGAACCTCTCTGAGAAGGCAAGGTGACTTTTGGGGGAGCTGGCAAGGAAGAGGAGGTGGGGGAGACACCTGTGTGAACACTTTGAGGAAACTTATAATGATTTTAATCAGCATTTTCCTTCCATTTAAAACCCCAAACTTAGCTACTTAATCAGATGTCATGCTTAGGACACATTTACCTCCTCGGGAGAAAAATGAACAATGGCAGCTCAATTTGGCTTTGGATGGGTTTTAAAAATAGTCAAGTCTGGGAAGGCCATTAGGTAAATGGCCTCAGAGAGCTTGAAGGAGGACCTCCTGCGGGGCTGCTGCTCCTTTGTTGAGAGACTGGGAAAGGGAGAGGTGAGGAGAGCAGCCTGTAGTGAGGCTTGGCAGTTCCAGGTGGGGATGTCTGCCACGCAGAAGGGAAACCATCAGAAACAAGGGCCTGCTCTTTGCACAGAGAGCCCCAGTAGGGGTCCTGCCTGTGCACACGGAGGCTGGCAGGTGTGTGTGTATGTGTGGATGCATGCATCTGTTTGTTCATCCACATCTGTATGTGCCCATGTGTGTACAGATGTGGGCACGTGTGTCTGTGTGTGCATCTGTATACCAGCACACATGTGTTTACATCCACGTACCTGCATGCATGTGTGCATGTGTGTATTAGGTGGAGTGACACATTTCCCCATTCCCTCCTCTCTGAAGGAGAGAAAAGTAAACCAGCTGGCTACAAGAGAGACCTGAATTCAGGGAACAGATCACAGGCATGGTGAGATGGAAGGTTTTGCTTTTTGTTTGTTTGCTTTTGTTTTTTTTGTTTGTTTCTTTAACATTTGTAAAAAACAATCAGAGATTTCTTTTTAAACCGAGAGATAAAGGAAAACAAAGAAATAATACACAAGGGCTTGCCTTTGTGAGGTTTGTATGTGAGTTACTCTAGGGAAAACTGAAGTTCTAAAAGTCCTGATAGAGGCTGAGGGTCTCCTCCCCTGCCTAAATGGAGAAGCGCCATTTGTGTTACTGTGGTCTGTCCATTTTTTTTTTTCCTGGAGAATTCTGTCATTTAATGGACCCATCCTTGCTTGGAGAAAATGCTTCTAGCCATCGTCTTTCTAGCCCAGCCCCTCCTCATCAGGCCTTGAAACATGGGCAAGAGAGTGTGATCTTGGCTTGGTTAACTACCACTGAAGCTGAGCATTTCCCTGCATCATTGCTGTAGGTGGCAGACTGAAGGTTGAGTGTTACCTGTGATAGCAAACAGAAGCCACAGGCATTTTGTAGGCAACTGAGGTGGCAAGTATCTCAGAACGTGTCTGGCTGTCAGCTTTATTGGCATTTGCTAGTTGCTCATTTAATGTGTCAACAAGAACATACATAAGCCACAAGCTGGGATCATTAATTTGTTTCTGTGCAAGTGCTGGGGATTGAACCTGGCTCTTCATCTAGCTGCATCCCAACATTGCAATAACATCATAAACTTCATGGGGATGCATATGCAGCATTCTAAGAGGCCAGTCGATTTTGTAAGGCTGGGAAGGGTCTGTAGAAGAAACCAGGTCAGAACCCCACCCCCACCGCCACCCCCCAGCCACCTGGCTGGCCAGGCTGTTAAGATGCCACCGGAAGGACTCCTTAGGCTGCTGGAAGGTCCTCCCTTGCAGTACTCCAGTTTTTCCCGCTAGGTGGCAGCAGTACAGGCATCTCCTTTCTGGTTGGCAGCTGGGTCCGGCTTGTTCTATTAGGACCTCCCTGGCTCTTGGCTTTGTAAGAGCATCTCCCCATAACCCTTCAGGACCAGAGCTCCGAGAGAAAATGACCCAGAAGCAGCCAGACAATCGAAGTGCTGAGTCACCTGGGTGTCTTTGGACCACAGGCTGGCACCGAGCTAGTAACAGTTGCACGTGTGCCCAGCCAACTTATTTAGTTCTAATTAAAACCTCCAGAGGGAAGCGACAGGAAACCGGTCTTGTAGAGGAGAGGGCTGAGAGTCCGAGAGGTTGAATAATACAACCCAGAACCCCAAGACAGTGGCACCTATACCCACGTTCACGTTCAGGCTCTTTCCTTGGGTCTCTAGAGGAAAATCAGAACTACCCTTGTCCTGTTCAGCCGGAGGGTTTGCAGGGGGTGGGCGCGTGCGCAGCGTGGGGGGTGTATCTCTGGCTTCGAAAACCCTTGGGCTGGAGGCTGGGGGAAGGGCCTGCCTGGGACTTATTGTTGGCTCCTCCTCCTCCACCAGGAACCCTCCTAGGGAGGCCTCACCCTCTCCTAGGGGGCCAACTGCTGGGCTGCAGCCACTGCACATAGCACCTTGCAAAGTCCGGGCTAGCCTCTCTTTACTCTCCTGGTATTGGCTTTCATGTCCATGCAGAAAGGTCGCTGGCTGCAGCTCATTTCTAAGGCCCTCGACTTTGCTCTTCTCCGCCCCTGTGTGGAGTTGAGAGTTGGGTTTTGTCCCAACAGTTCCTCAGGGACGCAGCAGCTCTGGCCTCCATGGAAGCCTGTGCCTCCCTGTCACTTCTGTCAGAGAAAGGGGACCTCAGAGTGTCTGTCTTTCACTAATCGGCCATGCAGATACGACTAACCAGGTAGGGCACCGGGAAAAGCTGGGTCGGTGAGTGGACAGGATTTCTCAGAGTCTGGGAAACCCAGGTTCCTAGCTCTCTGGCTCCGAAAAGGCTGCAGTTGCCATTACATTAGGAGCGAGAAGGACACTGGGCTGGAGACTAAATAACCGGGCAGAAACACGCTCCAACCGAATGCTGAAACTTCATCTGCCTGGACGGAGGCCAGGCCCAGGCAGTCGGGAGGACTCCCCAGTGGAGGTCCCTCCGCAGCCTCCCACAGCCTCTCGCGGCACCAGCGCCTTGCAGCTCCGCGGGAGGAAACTTTTTGTGAAGCCCTAGCTCCCCGAGCCCCACGAGAACCTCCCCTCCCCAAATCAGCTCTCCGCGTCCACAGGGCGTACTTAGAGCCGGGTCCGAACCTCTTAACTGCTTCGCATGCCATCCGGTTACCGTGGCAACACCATCCGGCGGCGCCCGGCGGTCCAATCGGAGCCTGCGGCCTCTTTCGAGCCTTTCCCAAGGTGGAGACCGGGACGCAGCTAGGGATGGGGAAGGGGCGGGCCAGAATCCTGTCTCCGGCGCCGCCCAGGCCACTCAGAGCCCAGGTCGCCAGTCCAGCTCCAGCGAGGTGGGCTGGTGAGCCTAGCCGGCCGGCCGGGTTAAGGGCTCCGATTCCAGGTTGAGGGGCGGGGAAGGAGGGTGACGTGAGCCGGACCAAGCGGGAGGAGTTGGGACCCGCTCGCGGAGGCGGGGGCAAGAGCCCAGAGGCAGACGCGCTGAGGGAGGCGGCCAAGCGGCGGGGCGGCTCTGCGGAGGGCGCGGTGGGCGCGGGCGGCGGGGCCCGGGATCCCCGCGCGCCTCCTCCGCGCGGCGCCGCCGCCGCGCGTCCCCACGCCCCGCGCTCCACGCGCCCTCGCCCCGCGCCTCCCCTGCCCGCCTCCTGCCAGTCTCCCGGCCGCGGCCGTCTGCAGAGCGAGCGCTCAGACGGAGCTCTCAGGCAACTTGATCGGTGGCGGAATCCGGGACAGAAAACCCCCAATTCGTAGGCGGGTGAAGGCGACCCTCGCGAGCCAGAGGGGCGACCCTCTAAAGCCCCGGGCCACGCCGATCACAGCCTCGGAGGTCCTTGCACCTTGCGCCGCGCATCCGGCTTCGCTGCCCGCCGCCCCGGAGGGCGAAGCCGCGCTCCTCGGAACCTCGAGGCCGGTGACAGCTCTGGAGAGCGCCCACCTCGCCGCCGCCCGCGCCGTGTGACCTGCGGAGGGGGCCCCGAGTCCCGAGTCCCGGCGGGAGAATGTGCGTCCCCGCGGGCCGGCCCGCCTGAGCCATGCGCCCCCTCGGCGGCGGAGCGCCGGCCGGCATGGAGCCCCACTCGGCCGCACTCTGACTCGCTGTACGCCCCGCGGCCGGCGGGCGGCGGCGGCCCGAAGCCGGGGAGCGGCGCCACGGGACGGGAGCGAGCGGGCGCGAGCGCCGCGCAGATGGCCGGGGCAAGCAAGGTCTGAGGCTCGGCTCCCTGAAACGTGACCATGTGGATCCAACAGCTTTTAGGACTCAGGTGAGCGACCCGCCAGAAAGCAGGGTGCGTGGGGGTGCGTGGGTGCTGAACTGGGCTGGGCTGGGCTGCTGCTCACTGTTGCAAACGAAGGCACCTCTTCTCGCCTCCCTGAGGCGGCCCGCGTGGTGCATCGGAAGCCGTGCAGCGCTGCCGCCTGCAGCTGGTCCCGGCAAGGAGCTCCGCGAGTCTGGGGTCGCTTGCCCCAGTGACCTGGAAGCTAGGCGCGCCCGCTGCTCGGGAAGCCAGCAGCGCAGTGTCCTGGCCCGTGGCCCCGGCGCGCCTCCTCTCGGGAGCCCGGAGCGAGTTGCGAGCCATTGGGCGCGGCGGACTCGGGGGGCCCGGGCTGACGCTGGAGGCGCCGGGGAAAGCCATCAGCCTTCCCAGTTCCCGAGCCAGCCTTGCTACGGAGTTGGAGGAGCCCAGAACCTCACAGCCTCTCTGCCAGCCCTTCTGTCTGTTCCTCAGGACCCTGGGGGGCCCTGAGCTGGAGTGTAGTAGGAGCCCAGCTGCCCATCCAGCTGCTTTGGGGGTGACCTCCGGGCAGAAGGTCGCACGCAGCTGGCGGACAGCTGGGTCTGGAGAGCTTGGATTCTGGGGAGAGATAACAGGCAAACCCCTCCAAAGCACCTTCCTTTCACAGACACACAGGCACACAGATACACAGGGCTTGTCTGTGCCTGGGACTTTAGGGCTAACAGGAACTCAAGCCCAGCGTGGTTATGAGGCCGGCCGGAAAGACCCTTCTCTTTAAACTTTGCCCACCCACTGAGTCGCTCTGGCTTCTCTGGATCCTGCCCTTGGCGGCCTAGGGGTCCCCATGATGCAGTTGCCTCTTTTGCAGTGCGGAGTTCCTACTATCCCTGCCCTCAAGTAAGGGGTCTTTGGTCTGGGTCGGGGGAGGGACTTAGGCTAAGACGACGCAGATGGAAGCAGAGAAAGGCTACTTGCACTTCTAATGTTTGTCCACTGGGATGCACTGCGCTCCCGTGTTGAGGACACAAGGGGTCGCTGGCTGCTGGGGCAGGCTGCCTGCCTCACCAACCCCCACCAGCATGAAGCTGGGGAGAAAGTGGGGCCAGGGGAGGGAGGAACATGTGTGCGACCTGATTTTGAGAAGTCTGAAGGAGACTGGCATGCGAGTGTTTTCTAGCTGTCCTTGATTTACGAGTGGATTTGGTACCTAGGAATAGATGCCGGCCCGCTCGGCATCATCTAGTGAGGACTGTCACACGTCATTACTGGCATTGCTTTTCCTGGTGGCCGAGTTTGTTTGCGCTGTGGGCTTTAAGAGGTTAATCATCAGGTTAGTGGGCTGAGTGTGGGGCGCAGGCTGGGCCTCAGTCCATCAGTGGACTGTGGTGAGGTAAGGTTTGGGCTCCCGCAGTTCTGGGGTATGGACCAAAGAAAACAGGAACAGCTCTTCTGGCATGACCCTGACCTAGGTGCCCCGCCTGCCTGCCTGCCCCCCTACCCTTCTGGTCGGGACTGTCCCAGTGCTCAGCTACATCCCAAGGATTTGAGGGCAACCCAGTGGATTCCCTCCCTGTCCAGAGGCAGCTCGAGCTGCAGTCTGCCACCTGCTTACTTGTGGCAACTTCCATGCACAAGTTGCTAGATTGATAGGTTAGTACATTTTGTTAAGGAGAGAGACAGAGAGAGAGAGAGAGAGAGAGAGAGAGAGAGAGAGAGAGAGAGAGAGAGAGAGAGAGAGAGAGAGCACCTGCAAAGAAACCTCCTTTGAGGCTCAAAATTCACTTCCACAGTTACCATAGAACAACAGTCGTCGTGACAGGTTCTCCGCTTTTGTTGGTGATTTTGGGGTTTGACCTTTTAGGTCCACCCTCCCTCCCCACCAGATGCAGCATGCAAGATTTTCTACGCGTGCACCACCCAACCCCAAAGGGGACCGCCAGAAGCAAAGCTAGCAGCTTCCCTCTGGGCAGGAACACGGAGCCTGAGCCCAGGAGTTATGCCTTTGCTTTGCAGCCCTTCATCCTCTCTTGCTAACTGCTCCCCACTGCTGGGTGAGCACTGGGCATCTTGCTGCCGAGCTTGGAGCCTGGTTAGGCTGGGGTGGCAGAAGGCAGTCTTCTTGGGAAAAGGTAGTTCCCTGCAAGCCCAGGGAGGGGCTTCCTAGTTCCCACCTGGAGAGTCAGGGTTGGTTACTTCTGCGATGAAGCCAAACTGTACACGGATGGAGCCTTGATGCCCTAGAAGGCAGAAACAGATGGAGTTGGATTTTTCTGCTTTTATGTATTTATTTATTTATCTGTTGGTGGGAGTTGTAGCAGGGCTTCCTTGGGTCCAGAGAAAGGCAGCCCTTGAAGGAGACTCGGGGCTTGCTGGCCTGCCTGGTCTCAGGGCAGCACAGACAGTGTGCTTACCCTGTAGGCAGCCCAAGTCCTCAGGTCTGGCCTGGTGGCTGATGGCCTCTGAGGCTGTGACCTGAAGAGACTGGCCTCACGGGGGTGTATGGAGTAGATGGGAGCAAGCACCCATAATGTTTGCTGGGTCGTGTTCAGAAGGAGGAAGGAGGAAGGCAGCCCTAAACTCAAAACTGGACTTGTTCCTGAGTCAGTCCTGCCTCCCAGCCCGGAGCTTTTGGCATCCCTTCTGCTAGTAAGGCCCTGGGTACACATTCAGAACACAATCCACAGTTTTCTCAAGCCCTCCCAGTGTGTGTTGTGTTGTGTCTGGGCTTCCAGGCAGGCAGGGATGCACAGGGCTGGCTGTCACCAGCCCTAGCACAAAGTCCCCTAGCAGCTGGGGCTGTGCAGCCAGGCTTTAGTGGATGGAGTCAATGCTTTGTCCGCAAACATTGGGCACAGGGTGAATGCTGGCTCTCTCTCATTTCCAGCTGCTGCTACTAAATTGATTTCAACTGGAATCCATCTAGGGTCAGAGGCCATGATACTCATCTGGATAATAATGCTGGAATAAGTGGTAAATTTAGGAGGGAGTGGAGAGCTTCCAGCAACATCAGCGCACCCCACCCCTCTCATTCTTGGGCCAAGCAGAGGAGTTGGTAGTAGATGCCCCTTCTCTGTCCATTTCTGTTCATGTGTTTATTCCTCTTCCCTTCCACGCTCCTTCTCTTCTGTGCCGTGGGGAAAGGGCCGGGGTACACAGCCCATAAGCAGCTCTGTACCTCCCTGCCCCTGGCCCCTGGTCCCTGGAGACGGGACAGCTTGCCTATCCCTCTGTGCATCTGCACCCTTCTAGCTGGAACCACTTGGGGTCTGGCTGCCTCCCACACAGCCTCGAAGCTTCAGTGTCTTCTCTGGCAGGGTGTTTGTCAGACATTGCCTGAGCATTCTTTGGGAAAAACACATATGCCCAGAGCATGCCGTGGAAGCTGGGGTTCTTATAGAGCCTAGGGATTTAGAACCCTGAGCTGTGGGTCTCTTGAGCCTGGGATTTTTCTCTAGGGGTTACGTGGGAGTCACATGGTTCTAATACACCGTTGCTAGGTTTGCTTCAAAGGGTTACAAGTCAGTAGAGACCAAATTGATGTAAAGATTAGCTGAGAAAGCCAAATATATCCCTGATCTAGATTCCTGCGTTTGAAGTCTGGCTGGAGAGGGTTTTGCTTGCCTCCTGCCCGGCAGACCGAGAGGGGAAGACAGGCTGGGGGCTTGTGCATCTGGAGTAATTGAGTGCAAACCAAGCTTGTTCCTCCTCTGAGACCCCTTCCAGGAATTCAAGGGGGCTGGTGACTCATGGAGTGTTAATGGGGAGTTTGGTTATGTAACTCAGATAGACTCAGCTAAGCTGCCTGGAATAGAGTCAGGCCAGAGTACGCCCCTGTCAGAGCCTAAGCTTCTCTAGTGGCCTCTAGGTCCCCTGACTTCCATCCCTACCAGGGGGAGGGTCAGATTAGCTGTAGGGAAGGGATTGACTTAGTTGCTGAGGACCCTCATCAGGGCAGTAGCCTGCACCCAGGCTATCACCCAGGAGTATGGCATGCTTGCTTGCTTGCTTCTTCAGAGTAAGCCATGGGGGCTCACTAGGACAGTCCTAGGAACCTGAGGACAGTCCCATACTTCTTCTAGGGCAGCGTGGTAGCTACTGAGCTGCGGGCAGATGGCCTGTGTTAAGCGGGACAGGCAGGTGCAGGGAGATGTCTAGAAGACTATACTGGTTCCTCTCTCCTCTCTCTGCAAAAAGTTCCAAGGATGGTGGAGGGTCTGTGAATGGTGTCTGAAATTGTAATTTGTAAGAGTCTGAGCTCCTGTGCCCCCTCCCATCCCTTCCCTTCTTCTCCCTCTTATCGTCCCTGGATCCAGGACGGGCAAAAGGAGAGAGAAAGAGAGAAGGCAGCTTCTTTGACATTTATCCCTTCTGTTCGTTTCCATGGGAAAGTTGAGGCACAGGGCTGGGATTCACAGGGCTGCTTTAATGATTCCCTCCATTATGACATTCATGTCACCTCCAACCTTCCCTGCTTGTCTGGATGACATTCACAGTCTTATCATAGTCACATGTCCCCTCCAGGGTTGACCTAAGAGGGACAGGGTCCACACTCACCGGCTCCCCTCTCCTTTTCTGTTTTAGCCTTTGAGGCAGCTGCTTGGGCATGGTCCCTGAGGCCGGCTGGCTGGTGCCTCCACTCCTTAGTCCTGCTTTATTTGACCACAGGAGCTGCTGTGAGAACTGGACACTGTGGAGAGGGAGGCCATGCCCTGTAGAGAGGCTCCTGGGTATGCTGGATGGGATGCCCAGAGTCCACGGGCTGACGGCATGCCTCATTCCCCATTGCTTCCTGGGAAGACGGCCCGGCAAGTGTTGGTAGTTGCACAGGAAATGCCTGTGCGAGCTTAAATGTGTCAGCATGGCACAGTGCCCCTGTTTTACCAAGTCCCACTTTTGTGGTTCTCCCTGGATCTCTGCTGAAATTCAGGAGAGAGTTCCCAGCCTTAGGCTTAGACGCCCTCCTGCTCCAAATAGATATCGCTTCTTCAACCTGGCTTATTGGGGGTGAATCACATCATTGGATTTTT